CGGGCTAGTTTGGGGAGCGCGGGTTACTCACCTTCCCTAAGGGGACACGGGTAGGTGTGGCCGCAGTAGGAGGTGTCCCTGCGGGACTTCGGGTAGTACTACCGCTAGGCCACCTGTTTTGTGCGTGGGCAGCGCCCCCCCTCCCCCCGCCGCGTGCTTTCGGGCGGACTGGAGGTACTGGGGAGTCTCAGCTAGCTGGAGGCGGAGCGGTCCCCGACGGGTCGAGCCTTGCCAGCTGCGTGCTGGGCGGCTGGACAGTAGCCAGGCCGGGAGAGGGGGAGCCGCCCTGGCCCCTCGCAGTTGGCCTCTTCTGGGGAGGCGGAGCGGCTGGGCGCACTCTCTCGGTGTTGTCGCGGGGATGGGGAGAGGGGGCGCTAGGGCGCAGAGGAAAACTTCACCCGCACTGGCGGCCTTTAGAAGCCGGAAATGCAAGGTTAGGTTTTGATTTTTATTTAAAAAGCCAGGCTGTGAGTCCACTGCTTTTCTGGGGTTGCAGTGTAGGTCTGTGCAGGGTGAACTGTAGATCAGCCCTCTCTTGCAGGGTCTGCGTTCTGAGAGGTGGAGGTGCCTCTTTGCAAAATAGGGGACCGCCTCTGCCGACTGGAATACATAAATAACCTTTTCTACCATCAAGGGGTGTGTGCGGGAATAGAGGTTGCTGGCTAGCCCAAATGCCCGGTAAATAGGAGCTACTTTTTATTCCTGCTGGTTATTCTGCCATCCCCTGCCCATGGCCAAATCTTGGTGCTGTTAGTCTGTTCTCCAAGCTGAAGCCAGAGGGAGAGTGTGAGAACAATTGGTTCATGAAATCAGTACTGTTGGGTTATACCTGCAGTCCCGCACCGGAGAGGTGGAGAAGTAGGAGTCGGAAGTTTAGGGTCATCCTCGTCTCCATAACAAGTTCAAGGCCAGCTGCTGTAAATGCTTACACCTGTAATTGATTTCCAGCATTTGGGAGGCTTAAAGCAGAGAAACTTGTCCACAAAGCAAGACCCTCCCTCAAAACAACAAACCGGTTAAACAAAAACAATGCTTAAAACCAATCCACAAATTTGTGCTTAAAATTGTCCCACATCCCCAGTGTTTGTCCTGTTGGGCTCAAACTTTTCAACAGGACCTTCTCTCTCTGGCTGCTTTGTGTAGTGTCCCTAATTGGGGTCCTTTAAGCCTCAGCCCAGCCATCCTCTGCTCTGGGACCTGTCTCCTCAGAGTCTGGCCTCCCTCCGACATCTCCTCTTGAGTGACAACCTGGATGGAACCATGGGCCGTTACACCCTCCACTCGTCTCACTCCCCAGGGTGAGAACAGGATCTTTGCTGTGTTGGGATCTGAGTAAGCTGTTAGCCCAGTCTGGGGTTGCGGGGGCGGGGGGTGGGGGAGGGAGGAAAGACGATGACGATGGCGGACTGGTTTTCTTTGTCCTACTGAGTGCTAGGGCAAGAATTGACTGGCAGCTGTGGGAGGGAAGGGTTCTTCCCATGGCCCCAGTGGGACCGTGCAAACCAGGGGTCCATCGTTATTAAGATCACCTCCTGCACTGCATTGTGACTGGCACTGGCTGCACTGTTCCCTGTCCAAACTGAGGCAGGGAACTGGCGCCTAGGACAAGATGGGAGAGGGCGGAGCAGAATGTTGGGAGGAGGATTTCAGGGCTAGGTTTGACGGGAGAACAGGGTCCAGTTGGCCTGGGGTGGGGGACTCTCAAGCAGAGCCCTAGGGCAGTGGTGGTTTCTGTCCGGAGGATGGGTGTTCCTGTGGGAGTTCTTGAGGTGACATTATTGGGATAGACTGCTTTGGGTTCCTGGAGCTTCCAGCTTCCCGGCACTCAAGGGTGCGGTTTCCCAGCTGGGCTGCTGAAGGGAGATGGGATAGTCGCTCCTCTCCTCAACCCTGACTGTTAGCTCTTCTGTTTCATGGCCCCTCCCCTGGTGTCCCTCCCTTCTGCACGCACAGAATCCACTCTTCCCCAGAACAATGGAGCAGCGTGTGGCTAGCCAGCCCGGCTGCGCTGCCTGCCGAGGAGCCTCAGGCTCTGTCTCTACTCCTGTGTCTTCCCGGATGCCTGTGTCCAGTTGAGCTGATCGGTTCTTCCCTGTTCATGGCTTGGGCCCTTTTCTGTTAAACTGTGGCCTGGCGGGGTAGGGGTGAAGATGAACCTTGCAATCTTCTGGAACCCTGACCCTGTGCAGTTTGCTTGTGCTGGGTGAGTGTGCCTGTCCATATGTGTCCCCTCCCCCAGAGGGCCTGCCTCTTCCTAGCTGGATAGTTTAGTGGCAGCTGTCTCTTTGGGAGCCCCTTGGAAAGGCCATCTTGGGGATGGGGGAGCAGCTCACTGCTAGGGCCACAGATCCTGCGTCCCAGCACCAGAAAAGCGACCAGCTGCCCATCCCCAACTAACTGACCAAGCAAAGCCTTATTAACTCTGCCGCCATCTGTGGAGTTGGAGTTTGCTTTTGGATGTTGGCCAGAGATTCCTGGGAGGCACTGAAGTGGGAGAAGCCCCAGCTGCTGAATCTATTGTCAGTTTTCTCATGGGACAGGGAAATGGCGATGTGCTTACCTGGGAGGCTAGCAGGAAGGGAATTCTAACACCCGGTGCCCATGAAGCCCCTATGATATCAGAAAAAGCACTGGCTTCCCGATCCATGGCAGGGTCTTGGAAGTTCGTGTGGCCTGCTCTGTTCCTTTGCCTGAATGACCCGAGTCTTTAACCTACTTCCCTGCCAGCAGTGGCCAGGCTCTGGACTGGAAAGTGTCCCAGTCCAATGCTCAGCAGTAGCCTTCCCTGGCCACAGACCCACACAAGATCCCTAGTGTGCAGAACAGGCTTCAAAAGGTTCTGTCCTTGCACAAGGATGAAGCCTCCAGCTTACCCAAGCTCTTGTTTCCTGACTTTCCATTTTCCTGTCTTTGAGGAGCCATAAACCACACTCCTCTCACTAGTCTGGTAAGCACCTGGCTCCCCAGCTCAAAAGATTTCTCAGCTGTGTGTGATGGCTCACAGCATGCCCGTACTCTTAGTACCAGGGAGGCTGAGGCAGGAGGATTGCCATGAGATTGAGGACAACTTGGGCAACGCAGTGTAAGATCCTGATTCAAAATACTGAAAAGCTGGAATGTTGGAAGCTGGGGGCTTTAAGGCCAAGAGCACAGAAAGTGCAGGGCTTGGCACATCCCTGGCACAGGGATGGGACGTTAGATTTTGGGATGAGCTGTAGATGGGCTGAGGAGGCCGGCCTGGTGCCTGCTTGAGCTCCCAGAATCCTCCAGGACTTGCTGTAAGGCCTATGGAGAATTCCCCGTCTATTTTTGGCTAAGGGGCCCCCTTTGCCACATTTCTCAGTATAAGAGGCTGATGCCTCTCCCTGGTGAACAGTCAGGGTGGGTGTGGCATCCTACCCCCCAGGTCCTGGGCCTCTCCCTAGGTTGGGTTTGTCTGGCATAGGGGTTTGTGTCTCATCCTGCTTTTGCTGTCCCCACCCTCCACCCCCACTGAGGGTTAGAAGGTTTCTGCGGGTACATGATGGTGGTGCTGAGCATGCTGTACGCAGCTGAGGATGTGGTTCTGTTGGTAGAGTGCTTGCCTAGGATTCAGGAAGCTCCAGATTGCATCCAGCTGGGCTACATGAGACTTTGTCTCAAAACAAAAGAGGTATAACAGGGGCTCAGGTGTTACAGGCGCTATTCACTCATTCAGCTTGTGCACATACGGGTGTGTGCACTCTGCCCCTATTCCCCACATGTATACACACACACACACACACACACACACACACACACATATAGCCATTTGGTCATATACTCATAAGCACATCCCTTCATATAACTATGCAGATGTGTGTTCACATGACCATGTACATAAACATGCCCCCACATACACATATGTGTACACATTATACTACATAGTCACACACAGATAAACACCTTTGTGTACTTAGTCTGACAGTCACGACAACATCTTGGCCACTTCATTTTGCCAGAATTTGTCTCAGGCAGAGGCTCACTAGGGTCTAGCCCAGACCCCCTGCCAGCAAGAGCTTCAGCTGCATCCAGCTCAGTCTCCCAGGAAAGCATCTCGAAGGGTGGGCTGCACCTTCTCCAGGGCGACACCTGGTATTGCTGGGAGAGCAGGTAGAGGGCAACAAGATAGCCTGAGCTAGGTGAGCTAGGTGTGGGAGTGGGAGCTGGGGGTGTTTCAGCTACAAGCGACAGACTGCTGCCGTAGACTGTGTTCTGGTATACATGCAAGGCCAGAGAAGCCTCCTGGATACCCCTACCCCGCCCCAGCTGGACTTTGTCCCCTTCCTGGACCAGCTGGTGGGCTGGCTCTCACTGGCTCAACTTCCTTTCAGCCTCCTGAGTGGCTGGTCTGGGTAGTGGAACAGCCTGTGGGTCACCCGGGGAGCTCTCCAGTTGCCACCCTAGCTCAATCCTTCATTTCTGTGTTCCAGTTTCTTCCACTGTGTAGTTGGGGTGAGTGTGGCACTCCACACACACCAAGGAAGAAGCTGGATTTGAGGTGTGAGAAGATTTGAGTGGAGAGCCAGGCAGACCTCTTTTTTCATCAGCTTGGAGAGGTGGGCATGAGCAGACAGGCAGAAGGTGCAAAGCGGGAGAGGTGATGATGACAGCCGTAGTGATGCAACTTGCTTCCTGGTCTGGCCCTGCCCTCTGAACCTTACTTCCTGCTCCTGCCCCACTCCCCAGCACTCCGTGGCCTGGAACCACAGCAGGCCTCCCCCACCTCCGGGGCCTCCTCACACCCTGCTTTCTGTATCCAGAACAGCCTCCCTCTGTCTCTTTTCGTGAGAGTGTTCTCTAGCCTAGGCTAGCCCAGAGCTCTTGGTCTCCAGCTCAGGCGGGTCCAGAGGATCCTTTTGCCTCTGCCTCCAAAGTGCTCATGCCATAGGCAAGCCCCGACATTCCAGCTTCTCCCACTGTTTCTCCAATGCTGACTCTTGCACCTCCACCCCATCCCTTCTAATCCCTTTTGTTAGCAGGCTTGTTTGTGGAGTGACCTTGTGATTGCAGCTTACAGCAGTGGCCATAGTGAGCTCTACCCTCAGTGCTTGTATGCATTACCTCATTTCCATGTCATGAGTGGTGTGAAGCTGGAACAGTTCCCATTTCTCAGATTAAAAACAACAACTGAGGCCTGAGTTGAGTAAGTAGTGATCCCTCAGCTGGAAGGTGGGAAGATCTGAACTCAAGTGTCCCCGACTGGGGCTGGGGGAGGGGAGGAGAGAGGCGGGGAGACTGGTTAAAACAGGGAAGGGCAGTTCTCCTCATGCTGACGTCATCAGGTCCCCGTGGTCTCACCCGCTCTGTCCTGAGAGGCTTGGGTGGGGCCGTTCTCCCTCTCTGGGCCAGCCTTCTTCGCAGAACTCCCGGCAATGGAACATTCTAGCACTCTATGACCTGTGCTAGAGACCCAACCGGCAGGCCAGCAGCCAGGACCTCTTCAAGGTGGGGGCTTCTCTGGACTCGTGGTCCTGCCTGGCTGGGGCCACAGCTAAGAGGTTAGTAGGTAGCTGTGTCACTTCTCTTGAAGGCTGGCCAGTGACATATTTCCAGCCAGGCAGGACTGAGTCCCCAGAGAGGGGCAGGGAGTGTGGAGGATAAGTCCGAATCTGTGGGCAAAGAGGCCCCCTCGCCTTGCACCCCACCCTCCCCTGAGCCCCAGGACTCCAGGTGGAGGGTCGGGGCTGACCCAGGGACCTAGAGCTGAGGGGCTGGGGATGCAGCCCAGCTGGCGGAGTGCTTGCCCAGTGTGCACAGAGCCCTGGGTTCGAGCCGCACACCACGTAAGCTGGACATGGTACTACACCGCATAAATCGCACTTGAAGGTTGAGGCCCGTGTGGACTATAGGGGACCCTAAACACAACACCAAAAATCAAACTGTAGCTGGGCTGTTTGGAAGACAGTTCTTCATATCTGACAGACCAATCCAGGGCCACGCAAACCTGCTCAGACTGTTCCTGTCCCATTGGCTCTACTGACCCTGCTGGACTATTTGGCTTTGCTGTCCCCATCTCCATCCCTGAGTGTGAGTTTGACTCCAAGTCCAGAAAGGGGAAAGGACTTACCTAAGGGCTGACCAAGAGTTCTTGACCTTGAGCGAAGGCTGGTTGGTCCCCCTGTCCTGGATCACTGTGTACAGTGGCCATGCTGCCCATATTCTTTTTAGAAATATTTATCATTTAATGTATATGAGTCTTCAGGCGCACCAGAAGAGGGCATCGGATCCCATTCCAGATGGTTGTGAGCCACCATGTGGGTGCTGGGAATTGAACTCAGGACCTCTGGAAGAGCAGCCAGTGCTCTTAACTTCCACTTCTTCAGTCGTCTCCCCACCCCCTTTTAATGTTGGGCTCGGTTTAGTCCAAGCTGCCTTGAGCCCACAGCAGCCCTTTTGCCTCACCCCACTCCCACCCCGAGTGTGGCTGGCCTCTAAGAGCCTCTGAGGGGTCACTGAGAGACTCTGGTGACCTCGTGGCAGAGAGTAATATCTGGGGCTAAGTGTGAGTTTGCTGGAAGAGTTCCTCCTCTGGGGACCCTTAGTGGTAACCCACCTGGCCATGAGCTCTTCTGTCAGCCTCCCAGGGAGCCATGCTGGGCTGTGAACTGCCCGAGGTGTGCGTTGCAGTCTGAGGGAGAGTGCTTGCAGGCTGGGGGACAGGTGAGAACGGGGGCTGTTGACTTGCGCTTTTGGCATTGAAGTCCCGCACTGCCTCCCTCTCACAATATTTACCGAGTGTCCTAAGCATGCCAGGGTCTGTGTTGGGGACATAGAGGGTTACCATAGGGAGTGACCTGGCATATACCCCCCGCCCTGCCGTGTGTGTGTGTGTGTGTTTGTGTGTGTGTGTGTGTGTGTGTGTGTGAGTGAGTGTGAGTGTGTGAGACCAGAGAATAACCTCCACTGTTATTCTTTCAGGTGTTTATTTGAGACAAAGTCTCTCACCGGGATCTAGGGCTCCATGATTAGGCTAGGCTGGCTGGCCAGGATCCACCTGCCTCTACCTTCCTAGTGCTGGGATTACAAGCACATGCTACCATCTTTTAGAAGATTTATTAGCTGGGCCATGGTGGCAAGCGACTTTAATCCTAACAGGTGGGAGTTGAAGGCCGGCATGGTCTATAGAGCGAGTTCCAGGATAGCCAAGGCTACACAGAGAAACCCTCTCTTGACTGGCGGTGGTGGCGCATGCCTTTAATCCCAGCACTCTCGAGGCAGAGGCAGGTAGATCTCTGTGAGTTCGAGGTCAGCCTGGTCTATAAGAGCTAGTTCCAGGACAGGCTCCAAAACTACCGAAAAACCCTGTCTCGAAAAACAAACAAACAAACAAGAAACCTCCCTTGACAAACGAAACCAAGATTTGACAAACAAAGCCAAGATTTGTTTTTAACTATGTATATATGTGTGAGTGCAGATGCAGGCTGGAAGCGGGCATCAGATCCCCTGGAGCTGAAAGTACTGGTGCTTGTGAATTGTCCAACATACAAGTGAACTTGGGTCCTCTAAAAGAGCAGTAAGCACTTTGGACAGCTGAGCCATCCCTCCAGCCCTATACCAGGCTTCTCTATTACACATGCATTGTGGGGATCAAACCCAGGTTCTCCTGCTTGTGTGACAAGTATTTTACTGACTGAGCTGTCACCCCAGCACATGACCTGGCGTTTCCTTACACGGTGGAGATGGAGGGAGGCTTGTAGTTGCTATGGGAGCCCAGTGCTGGCACCTGAGCAGACACCTGAGCCTAGGTGACCTAGAGTGAGTCTCTAGGAGTCTGACTGGGCCCTGTCTAGTCCTCCAAGGCAGGACCCTGAGAGCCCCCTTCTCTCTGTAGGTCAGCCATGTCATCTGAGCCTCCCCCGCCGCCATCGCAGCCCCCGACACATCAGACTTCTGTTGGGCTACTGGACACTCCTCGGGCCCGGGATCGCTCTCCATCCCCGCTGCGAGGCAATGTGGTCCCTAGCCCTCTGCCCACCCGCAGGACAAGAACTTTCTCGGCGTAAGTCTCGGGCTGGCCACACACTTCCAAAATGGGTGCTGCTACCAGAGCAAGCAGGATCTATTTTCTGGGCGTCTCCTAGAGGAGTGCTAGGTGCCTTCAAACTCGGGAGCTATCCTTGTCCCCCCCCCCTCCCCCCCCCCGACTGCATGATAAACACTAGGCTTTAGCCACAGAGGCCTCTTTCCCAGGAGGCCTTGACTTCCTCAGTTGTATGGGGGACAGTGTCTGGGCAGCCACTGGCAGGTGTAGATTTTATGGCCTGTGAGTGGGTGCCAGATCTGTTCCTAACAGTTTTTGAGAGGAATGCTCCCGAATGTGTTGTCTCAAATGGACAAACAGGCCTGAGAAAATGTGCCAAAGTTATCCAGTCATTTCGACAATTCCATGTGACTCGCTCCCAGGCTTGTACACAAAGCCTGTGTGACGATGCATGGTGGCCCTAGCCAGGTCTCTCGAAGCCAGAGTGAGGAGAGTAACCCCAGGGCAGTGGGTGGCTGTTGTAGAGGACTGATGGGTGTCCCCTCACATCTCCCTATCTGTCAGGACGGTGCGGGCTTCACAAGGCCCTGTCTACAAAGGAGTCTGTAAATGCTTCTGCCGGTCCAAGGGCCACGGCTTCATCACCCCAGCTGATGGTGGCCCTGACATCTTCCTACACATCTCTGAGTGAGTTCACTGTAACATAGCTGGAGGTCTGGGCCGGGGGTAGAGGAGGTGCGGTCCTGGACCCATGTTGTATAGGACAGTGTGATGGGAAGGTTCAGGGCAGGAGGGTGTATGTGGAGCCTGTGAGGCTCAGGGGAGTGCTGGGGCTGTCTGTTTCTTCTGCTCCAGGAAGGAAGCATAGGGCTGGGCTCCTTCTCCTGCCACTTGGTCACTAAGGCTCTTCCTTCCTGTCTGCAAGCCTGCAGGAGTCTGGGGTGTGGCCCAAAAGCCCCCAGCAGTCCCTTCCCTGTTTGGCTCCTGAGCAGCTTTTGGGTTTCCTAGGAACCCTGACTAGAACTTCTATCCAGACTTTGTTCTTTGCCTGAGCACCCTGTCCACCCTGACTTCAGTCCTGAACTGGGGACTGAGTCCGAAGCTAAGGGCACATGCTGACACCCTGACATCCACTCTGCCTCAGCCAATGGAAGGCAAAGCCTTTTCCCCCAAAGCCCAGCTAGAAGAAGGGGGGCTGTGTTGCAGCCTCTGCTGTGATGAAGTGCTAGCTCTTTTATGCGGGTGCTGGGGATCCGAACTGAGGAACTCAGGCTTACAAGGTCGGCACTTTCTGGATGGTGCCATCTCCTCAGCTCTGATGACCGCTCTTTCTCTCCTGCAGTGTGGAAGGGGAATATGTTCCAGTGGAAGGCGACGAGGTCACCTATAAGATGTGCTCTATCCCGCCCAAGAATGAGAAACTGCAGGCTGTAGAGGTGGTCATCACCCACCTGGCACCAGGCACCAAGCATGAGACCTGGTCCGGGCATGTCATCAGCTCCTAGGACCTGCAAGAACCCCTTCTCCTGGGCTTGAGGGAGACTCTGGGGGGGGAGGAGGAGCAGGACACTCTGGATATAACATTCTACCAAGTGAGATGGGGCCTCAAGGCCGGCATGGCCCCTTTCAAGCATTTCCTGGAAGAAGGGAGTTGTGGGCAGGCAGAGGGTGCTCAGCCACCAACACAGCCTCCAGCCATTGCAACAAGCTCTCACTGTCTGAAAACATTAAAAGCATTTGAAAAGGAGAGGGACCTGCTGCCGTGGCTGAGTGGAGAGGGTGCAGCTCCAGCCCAGGGCGGGTAGGCTAAACCTGCTATTTTCCCAAATGCCCCGCCCAGGTCAGACAAACCCTAAGTACTCCTCCTGGAACTAGACAAAACCCTGGATCTATTTTCCCCGCTGAGGGATGTCACCAGCCCTGTGAGACTTCCATGACCCAATGCCCTGTCTGACTTGGGACCAGGTTAGATTCATCTTCTGATTGCCAGTCTGGCTAGCTCCAGGGAAGCCGGCCTATGTATGTGGGGACCTTTTCAGGGACTTTGCCTCTTGGGGCCTTTACAACAGGTGTGTCTCCACCTTCTGGGAAAGACTCCAACCCTTAGAAGCTCCTGCTCTAGTCCAGCACTGATCCCTGCCCCTGGGAATGCTGGTCTTTTCTACTTGTAGGTGTAAGGTACCCTTTCTCTGTGGCACCGAGTCTGGCATTAAGCCAGTGCTGACGGGAGCTGTGGGGGTGAGGAAGAGGCCTCTGCAGGACCAGCTGTAGAGAGGGAAGGGTGCTGTACACTTGGGAGGCTGGAACAGTTCTAGGCCAGCCTAGGCCAGAATCGTCTCCAAACATCAGGAGACAAGGGCTGGGGATGGAGCTCAGTAGTGGTGCACTCGGCGAGCATGTGCGGGGCTCTGGGTTCCACTGCTAGCATAAACCCCAGAACTTGGACTCTGATGGCTTTCACAGTTAGGGGTTGAAAGAGAAATATACATACCTTTGGTGGGGAAGCAAGGCTTCTTTAAGACAGCTCTGACAAATACACTGCACTGAGCTACATTGAAGCTGCTGCCTGCCAGTTTTTTTTTTTTTTTTTTTTTTTTTTTGAGGTAGGGCTTGCCATATTGCTATATAGCCTAGGCTAGCCTCAGACTCTTAGCACCTTTATGCCTTGGCTTCTTACTTTCTGGGGTCAGAGGTGTGCCTTCACACCCTGCTGACTTATTTTATTAAATAGCTTACAAACTCCCCCAGAGCCCTGTTTGCCCCACAGTGCAGCACTGTAGATCTGTAGGTGTTTCAAACAAACTGCTCCTCAGACTCTTTTGGTGGTTTGCTATGGCTTTAGTTGTGGTTTAAAAATAATAGTAGTAGCCGGGCGGTGGTGGCGCACGCCTGTAATCCCAGCACTGAGGAGGCAAAGGCAGGCGGATCTCTGGGAGTTTGAGGCCAGCTTCGTCTACAAGAGCTAGTTCTGGGACTGGCACCAAAGCTACAGAGAAACCCTGTATCGAAAAACCAAAAAAAAAAAAATAATAATAATAATAGTAGTTGGGTAATGGAGTTTTTAAGCGGGATTGAGAACTCTTGCCAGAACAGGGGTACCAATACTGCAGGGGTGACTGGGCCCCCAGTCCAGACCAGAGGCTCCTTTGATAGCACTGTGGACCTCAGCACGTCTTCTGCATTAATGTAGGTCCATCCTAAAGGGACAAAGGCTGGAACTCTGATGACCACTGTGCTTTCAGACAGACATGGGGGTCAGGGTGAAGTGGAGGATGTGAGTTCAATCCCCAGAAAAAGTAGGCTGTGGCAGACACTCAGGTTGTCCCAGAACTGGGGAGGCTGGGCCAGGCAGATGCTCGGGGTTGGCAGGTGAGCCAGCCAGTCTGTTTGGAGAGTCTGAGGTCAGTGAGGGACCCTATTTTTTGTTTATAAAAGGTGTTTAGCACCTGAGGCATGAAAACAGGTTGTCCTTGTCCATTTGCACAAACAAAAACTAAGTGGTTAGCCGTGTGAGGGCCTTGTGCCGCTGGCTCACCTCCACCACCCAGTTTGACTATTTTCTTTGTTGTTGGACTGTGGGCAGATGTTTTTCTACTAGGTCAAAGGTGGCTTTTCCCCCTCCAGGCTTGGCTGACTGCCTAGAGCCTCTCTTGGGGCGCCTCTGCTGGCCAAGGAACAGACTTCCAAAGCCACTCTGCCAGGACCCAGGAAGGCTCCCTGAGACTGACAGCCTTCTCCGTCACCCCATTGTTCCTAGCTTTCACTCTGGTATGGCGAGGCTTTGGTGGCCCATGGTTGGCCTGCTAGCGGGCCCTGCCACCAACTGAGCTGCCAGCTACTTCTGCTGGCAAGATGGCCTCTGGATTCTTTTGCCCCACAGAACCCTTTGTGAAGCGCTTGCTTTTTCTGTATGGCCACATCACTTCAGCCTCAGGGCTGTTTTGGAAGTGCAGGGCACTGGTATCAGAAAAGACTCTTCAGACAGGGAGTGTCAACAGATCAGAAGGGACACTGCTAGTGACTGGGCAGGAAAGAACAGATTCCCAAATCCAGACGTTTGACCCCCCCAGCCACCTCTTTCTCAATAAAGTTTGTTTTTGTGCAACAAAATGAGGCGACTCGAGGATGTGTGTGCACGCTTGTGCCTATGTGAACATGGAAGCGTTCCACTAGGTCAGGGTGCCTCCCAAGCATCTCTGCAGCATGATTCTAACGGATGGGGGCGTCCCTTCATTACCCAACAGAGGAAGCTAGTCTGGAACGGGGCTTGTTTCTGTGGTGGCATCTGGACGCCATGTAAATGTGAGAAGGGTCCTGGGGTTCCTGCTGTAGATGTCTAAAGGGGTTGTTGCGGCTCCCTGGGGACCATGTGGAGAACTAGAGATGGAGATGGGGTTGTCCCTCATATAGGTCCAGTGGCTCAGAAGGGCAACAGGAAGGCCACCTGCCTTTGTGGGGGAGGAGTAGCAGGTTGCTGATAGGGTAAAGATTGCCCAGGATGGGGTGGTTTTACCAAGGGACAGGAATTTTGATGAATGGGTGATTCTCCCAGTGGTTGGGGAAATGCCCAGCAAGCCTGTTCTGGGAGAGGCTACAGATGAGGTGACTACAGTAAATCAGCCCGGGTTTCTCCAAGTTGACTGGTGTGCTGTGTAGGTGTACCTAGCCTGGGGTAAAGAGGAAGTGATTCAGTGCTACACTGCCTAGGAAGGAACGTATTTCAAGTTGCTCCTTAGTTCCTGTCTTCCCATCCAGACATGGTTGGGGACACCCTGTAGGGTCACACAGCGCCCCTACATGAGAACCAAGCATTCTGGTAAACTTGTTAGCTCAGGCTTTCCTGAGGCTTTCTAAAAGTTGGTGACCTTGAGTCCTGGACAGCAGCTTGTGCAGAAGTGACACTTTCTGAGCAGCCCGAGGATGCTTAGGTGCAGCTTCTGCTTCTTGTGATGCTGTCTACCTAACTTCCTGCTTTCCTGAAGTCCTTGGCTATCCCCACTTGGTAGGACAGATAAGAAACTGAGTTACAGCTGTCTGGGAGAATTACTAGTCCCTGGACAGCCACTTGCCACACTACAGGCCCTGCTCCTCCAGCAAGGCCACATGTGTGACTTTAATCACGATCATTTTACAGCCATGTGATGTCTGGAGCAGAGCCCCTTTATTAGGTGGGAAGTTTGAATGCAGACTGGGGGTCTGTGACAGGCATTGTAGGAACTGATAAAGCCTGGAGTCCCCACCTGAGGGCAGCACGGGACCTGCAGGTAGATGACAGCCTCTGGGCCAGCTGGGAACTACAGCAGCCAGGACAGCTAGAGGAGCTGAAGAGCTTTCAGGACTCAAGGTGTTTGGTTCTCTGAGGCCTGGAGAAGCCATCTGACACCCAGAGTGAGCGTGATCAGATCAAGAAGTGAGGAACGATGCGGTCCCTTTAATGTGTTTCCCTGGGCACTGCCATAACATCCAAGGAGGACGCCACAGGGTGGAGGTCCTGGCACTCTCCTGTGGGGGTGGACAGAGGTAAAGGGGTCAGCAGCAGGTGCCAGTGCGGGCAGTCAAAGGTAGGGCAGTGGGAGCACATGGTGGCTGAAGGCAGGAAAGGGCAGCAGGGGCTCCCAAGAAGGAGCCGGGCTGCAGAACCGTTTACTAGGCGCTGAAAAGCGGCCTGGGAAATGTTCTTGGAAGGCTCTCCCTGAGGTTCTGGAGGAGGCCTGGCAGTCTCCAGGAAGAGGCTGAAGGAGTGCAGCTCCTGTGGCTGTGGCCTTTGGGCTGTTCCTTGGGTAAGGACTGCAGGCAGAGCTTCACTGGGTGACAGGAGAGCAGTCCTGTTGAAATGTAGCAACCAGAGCCGGCAAGGCCAGTGGAGGTGCAAACTGTCATCAGCTGTCACTTGGCCAGCTATCCGTCAGGCAGGTCAAGCTGTGGTCTGTGGCTCATAGACAGGAAGCTGGCTTGAAAACAGAAACATCAGCCCTCTGGCAGAACACTGGCTTCAGTTCATGCCCCAGCCTCAGCGCAGACTGGGAATGCATTCTGAAAGTCCTCAATTCTCTCCCAGGTGGGTAACTGTGGATGCCTTGTATTTTTTCCATCATCCCCTCTTTTTGATGGTCAGATGAAACTGACAACTGTCATGTTTCCATGAAACCTTGGCTGGTGTGTTGGTGCATGTAGTCTGCATTTGTAAGGCAGAGACCAAACACCCTGAATTCTAGGTCAGGCTGGTCTACACTGCAGGTTCTGAGGCAGCCAGGGCTACATAGTGAGACCATGTCTCAAAATAGAGCCCTTCCAAACCCACCACCACCAGAAAACCCCAAACTTATATTTTCAGTTCCACAAAGGGTAAGGGGCCAGGCCTCCGAGCTTCCTGGGTACAGATTCCAGGCATGAGCCACCACACCCCGCCACAGCCATTTCTGATTGCGTTCTTTCTACTCCCTTGGGGCTGCCGGTGCTAGATGGAGGTGGAGGCACGGCCTACTGGCATGCTCAGTGAGATGACCACTAGTCCCTGTGACTGGACCATGAGAACAGCCTGGCTGCAGGCTAGGGACATATGCACGTGAGGTGAACTCCAGCTCTGGCCCTAAGTGCCCCTGACCCTGAGCGACCTTTCAGTGTTGATGGCCAGGACCCCATTCCTCTGGAGTTAAGGGAAGAGCTCCTCACAGATCCTGCGCGTGTCCTCGGGTGCTGTCACTGTGTAGCCCACAGTTCTGGGGTCTGTGAAGATCTCATGATCAT